GAAACTCTTATATTTTCTGGTATGAAATTAATAAATTACTACATCTCTTACTACTTGTAATTATAGTGTGAAAGTCATGCTGGATTACTTGGCTAAATCCCCGATAATATTGACAAATTAAATTACTACTGTTAAGTAATTTATTAGAGCACGTTACTTTGTACTCAATTACGAAATGAAATCGACCAACACCAAATCTGTTATTAGGGTCAACACTCATATTTTAATTTAGAAAATAATTTAAAATGTGCAGTTGCAAACGAATTTGTACTAAATTGTCTCATTAGTTTAGGTACATTACACACGAAAATATTAAAATATGTTGTCAAAGTAATCGAGGCGCTATTGATTGCCCCATCAAAGGTTTACTAGTAAAGCCGGCTCCACACTGCGCACCGGACGAGCCAATTAAACTATCACATCATTCATTACTTATTACTGAAAGTCCCCCTCACACCACCTCAAGTATATTATCGTAAAACTTATGAACATACTTAGCACACGCTGTGTAAACTTTCTACAGCCCGTTTATTTTTTACTTATTTTACCTTATGATAATAAATAAATCAGTAGGTAACTGTTCATCAACAACAAACTTTTAATAAACAAAAACAAGGTAATAAAAGCCATACTAAGTTTATGAAAAGAGTCGCATATAATACAAACACACAGCAGTAAGTTTCTACCTTTACCTGATTAAAAATGTGATGAATGTTAATTGTGCGTTGTTTAATAAAGATTTTTTATTCTTTATTGATTCCTTTACATTCACGTTTTCAGAGAGTAGGGTTTTGTTACATAAAAATATATGACTGGCACCTTGCAGTTTCAGAAACTAAATAACTAACTATGTTCTTAATATTTTTGTGTCCATTGTGTCAGTTTCATGTATGTTTATAACCCCTGCGATAAATGGCTAATGCGTATTCCTCTTCTTAATTTTTTTTTAAACTTTCACTTAAAAGTTACGGTTAATTTACTCTATCTTGTTGGTACTGGTTGGACACTAAAATGTAAAAATAAGTGAATGAAGTAATCGACTGAAAAACTTGTATCGATTTGAAGAAGATTACAGAATCATAATTTTGTATCTGTAAATAATAGGTACGGAACCTATCAACTAGATATATGTAGTACGACATATAGAACCACGATCAGAACGGTTAGGTTTAATATTTTCCTTTCACGGTTCGTAAATCGCGTATAATTAACAACAATGTTGTCGAGTTGCGTCGATCAGCAACGGAACCATAATAGCCACGGTTATTTTAATATATGAGTAATTCGTTGTTTTAACTTTGTTAAATGCACTATAGGTACTTATTACCATTTAGTTGGTAAATACATTACCTGTACGTCAATTACTAATAATAATAACTTCACACATCTCACACGCGGCAGTCTAATCCCAAACTAGGCAGAGCCTGAGCTATGATAAATATGTCTCAGCAGTCTGAGTCAGGGTTACTCGACCTACATACTTTAAGAGGTTGTAGTTGCCATCATTCCTGATAGATTTCTCTATGAAATGCCATATCCCAAAAATGACCATTTTCAAGAAATTAATAGTATAGCAAAAATAGCAATTTTTAACAGCATAATATATATGACAGTTAAATTGCTGATTTAATAAAAAAATATATACGTATCTTCAGCTATTCAACAAGGTATAATAGTCTAGGATAATATCAGAATTCATAAAAAAACTTAGTTTAAAGACCGGGGCTGGTAAGAATTAGCGTTTACCATAGTATCTAGTTGAAAAGAAGTAGTTTCGTTTTCTATTCGTGACTAACTATTGCTAAGTGAAATAGGATTTGTTCTTCTGATACTGTTGAAGATGATGACTTATACGAATGAGGAATATGTTCATATGTTGATTTCTTACGGATACTGCCAATGCGTATCCGCACGGGCTCGGATGCCGGATGTTATTGTGTTGGACGAAAACTATCGACAAATAAAAGTGATCGGCTCTGTTTTAAGGCGACGATCTGATATGGATAGATCACAATTCACTGATGAAGATGATGATAAAGATAGCGAGATAGTTCAAAGATTTAGATTTAATGGCTTCAACCAATATTGTTGCCCTAGAACTTAGACTCTCACAATGGAAAGTATGCTGTGAATATTGCGGGCTTATACCCATTTCACTATAGGCCACTGGTACAAGTTATTGAAGAAGGAGATACTTTGAAGAGGTTGGATTTCTGCAGATTTATGTATGTCAGTGTGGTGACGGATTAAGAATACGGAATGTCACCACCCCTGTTCATCCCGGGGGTGTCGTAAGGGACGACTAAGGGAGCAAACTGACCAGGACAACAGCACTGCAAAGAGAAGGAAAACTTGAAACAAACGTTATACCAATCCATCTTGCCAGCGGGGTATAGTAGGCCAAAACCTCCTTTCTAAGGAGAGGCCTATGTCCAGCAGCAGACTGTTAAAGGCTGTTGATGATGATGATACATTATATACTAGCGACTTTGCATGGGTGTAATTTTTACGACATCATATTACAAATCTTTGAAATTCTCAGATTTTCTCTACTATAATATCCATGCATTATTCATATAAACCTTCCTCTTGTATCATTATCTCTATTGGTGATTGATGAATAATGAAACCGCATTAAAATCCATTGCTTATTTTAAAAGATCAAAGTGTACAACACAAAAAAACTACTTTATTTTATACTATGTAAAGATAAACGCATATGAAGATTATTTCATCGTTGAGTTTAGTCTCCATTCAGTAAAATGGTCATAGAGTCCTCCTTGTTTTCGAAGCTATCTTCAACTAGACAGCTATCTAAAACTAACGGAACGATCGAACAGGTAAACTCAAAGACTGAGAAAAAGATATATTTAAGGTTTTATCGCCAATACCTTGGAATTGGTGCCTCAAAATTCAGCTCTTACGTTTTATTTTAAATCTAATGTTTTATTTTACTTATTTGTAATGTATTCAATTTCCAAAGCAGTGCTTTCCAACACGACTTGCCGTCAAGTCGTATGAAACCTCAGGGAACCAGACTGAAACAACGACGGAGTGATAAAATTCTTTTTTTAATGTAATTGTAGTCAGTTATTCTTTGCAATTGAAATAATTAGTTGACCTTGTTCTAACGACGATAATGGCTGTTGTTATAGCTATTTCAATCCCACTGGACTGCTTACCCACAGTTAGGAACATCCAGGTATGGTTACTATACCGTCACCAATCATGTTTATAACCTTATTCATGACTTCAAGCTGTATGCAAGTTATGTTTATTATTTCAATGTCCAAAAATAATTAGTTGTGACCAAGTTCTTTGGAGAGTGTAAGCTAGAGATCTGACGGCAATGGAGGGCTCGCATTGCAATCTTTACCAATCGCAACGCCGAACGCGCTCGCCGTTGTGAGCCTCAGGACAGTGTGGAACAGCCTCACTTTTTTTTCACTAATTTATGTCTTACTCTGAGTGAGTGATATCTAAGAAACGGCAAATTCAGAATAATAATTATTATTCTAATGTGTTTTATTACTTCTTACCAATTAGGTTAAATGATTAACACATTAAAGGATAAATATAATATTAGACTTTAAGTTCAAATAATACTTGGTGCATTGGGGTAGAACCAGCTCAGACCATAACGATAAGCAAAATTATCTAAAGAGTTGAGTTACTTTATTAGTTGGTTGTCTTATTTTACAATATTGTAGTAGCTACGAGGTAGTAGAAACCGAAAACATGGCATGATGCCGTGCTCATCCACTCAAACGCAATAAATTCGTAAGTTTAACATTCTTAGGTTTTAATTACAGCAAAAAAAAGTTGATGTCTAAGAAAAGAGATACAATCGACAATGCACAATTCAAGCACATACATGCAATAATTTTATAACGTTAGTTAAGTGAGAAATTGTTTTAGACAGAGTTCATGCAGAATACAACGGCCAAAATGGAATAATACGGCCTACTTACGGTGGGGATATTACTCGGTCTGTGTATTGACGACGTCTCGGGTGTGGAGATTAAAACCATTCGGCAGCCATATCAAAGGTTAAGACTTTAATACTCGCTCAGTGTAAATATTTATTTTTATGTATAGTTTTGTGCCTGTTTCTGCTTGTTTCTACGTATTTTATAAATTATCTCTTTCTCTCTTTCTATGTCTATGTCCCCTGGGTGGGGGCAGAGGGTGTCCACAAAAAGTAGGTATCTATTTTGATCAGTTCCGAGCTTCGTGCAATTTCTCTCCACGTCTTGCTAATGATCCTCGCCTCATCTGCCGTTACTCGTCACCAAATTCGGATTGGATGACTACACTTGCACTTTCCCTGAGAGTTCCAGTCTAGAGCCTGCATGGGCACATCGCGATGTCTTCGGAGATTATTACCAATCCACCGTATGCCATGTATGCATGTAATGAGTAGAAACTACGCATTTACAGAAAGAATTGAGTACGTTATCATTCTTAAGTTAACGAACAACAAGAAAAGCTTACAGCACAGGTTTATACCAACTGAAGTATTGACTATATTATTAGAGTATTAATTGGAGAAGCCTAACTAGTGCAGTTTTTGTATTCTAATCAAAACTGCGTCTAACGAGTGTCGAAACTAGGGCTGAAATCACATGGTACGAGTCTTCCGGGAAACTGAGGTCGGCCATTGTAGTGGTTTTTAGTAGAAACATCACATTCACCTGGCTCCTACGTCCCCAAGGATTGTAACCTTTTTTGTTGACAGAGTGGAAAAGGGATTTCCCACTCTGTCAACAAAAAAAGGCCTAAGAATAGGGCTCCTTGCTAACACAATTGCATACTAACTGCTTTTGAGATACGTTTACATATACCTGCATACGTCGGTCATTAGATCAAGGTTATTACAATATTAATTATACTTAAATCAAAACAATTTGAAACGACACGTAAATATTTTTCAGAAGTAGCCGGTAAATGCTACTAAATATTGCACATGAGAGTAAAATCCGTTATCAATGAATCCGACGTTAACAGATATTAATGTTTATGACCAGGGTCGCATTTGTTGCAGCATCGGTGTAATCTCTACAAGTCTCGTCCGAGGCGTGGTCGCGAGATGTTATCGTACCCATTAGCGAGCGCCGCGCCCAGCCACTATCTGCCTCATCGCGCGCACAACCATTGCTATCAAACATCATATTTTACGTATAACGCACACTAAACCCAACTCTAATGTACACGATCATGGCTTATATTACTTCAAAACACGCGGGACGTTAGTATAACCTAAACAAATGAGACTCATCTTTCTCTATTTTCTAATATTGCTGTTCGTGATTTTTTCCGCATTAGATTTTAGTGTATATCGATATGTATCACGTTAGTAATTTGCGTGATTCGACCGTTTTCGATGATGATAGTTTTAAGGCCTTCGTCGAAATTCATTGTGTGAGATATGACGGGTATTCGAAGAATGTCTCACCCACGCACACAGACTGGTGGGTGCCTAATGCGTTTAGGATTGAATACCGTCTGATATCGATCTGGTTCGTAGAATTTTGACGGCGTTATGAGACGAAAAATGAATATCATAAATAATAAATTAAAGAGCTTGTCAGAAACATGTTAGTTGAGTAAACTTCTACAATCATCTATTTGACGGGTCTGTTGGTCTAGTGGTTAATGACCCCGACTGCTAAGTCGGAGGTCGTGGGTTCGATTCCCACCCAGAACAAATATTGTGTGATGAGCACGGTTATTTGTTCTGTGTCTTGGTGTGGTTTATATATAATATGTATGTGTTTAAAATATATAAGTACGTTTATCAGCCGTCTGGTTGTCTTAGTACAGGCTATGTTTGGGAAAAACAACAGCAAGCGTAAAAAAAAATGAGAATTTCTGCACAGCTGCCTATTTTGTAGTAGAACTTTTTTTTTAAGACAACGCCCGCATTAGACATGTTCCCTGTGTCGCGGGGGACTTTACAAACATACATGAAACGAACACAAAGAACATCCAGACTCAGAACAACAATTTGTGGATCACTCAAAGTGTCGTCCCATATTGGGATTGGACCCACAACATTCGCTTAAACCACTACGCCTTCCGTGCAGTCTAGTACTAGAACTAGTAATATCCAGGTTAGTTTCGCCTAAAAGACACTTATTACTCTACCAGGGTGTCCAAGGCAGCAGGACATGCATTATGTATCGTCGGTTTATTTTCACAATACGAGTGTGTGAACCTTGAGTTGATTGCGAGGAAATTAAGTAAAGTACTAATGGCATTGTTGTAAGTTAAGACAGTGATGTTTTTCTTGTACTTAACATATTTATACAGTGTTGCTAGATGTTTTTATAAAGAGCAGTTGTTACACGAAGGCGAGCAAGCGTGATAATTGTCGGCTGATCATCGTTTAAAACATCTGCGCTATTCGATTCCACTCATCGGCTGCTTAGCATGCATCATGCCATATTTTTTAATTACTTTATAATGCGTTGCGGAAACCGCAAGACAATTAGTTGCCATTATCGATGAAATCGAATTGAAGCAGGATTTTATGTGCATTGCGTTGGCAATATATTGCAATGTGAATCAAAAATATCGTGACCGGGTAAAACAGTAAATGAGACTTATTAGAAACATGTTTTACATAAAACTTTGATGGATATGAATTTTGCATAACCCTTCAACTTAATAACAAAATTGCAAAATTTATATTAATATCAATTAAATAAAAATAATAAATTTCATAAACGCTTTTAACGAACTATCGATTGGAGCACTATAAACAAATATAACCTAAAACAACGACTTCTTTTTTAAAGTATGCTTTTTTCAAAAGAATTATAAGTTTTTCGACTTGTCGTCTCTCTCGGCTTGTCTATCGATGTTTTGTAACCTTGACAGTTTCCTACAAAGAAGTTAGTCAAAAAGCTTTTAATCATAGCTCTAAGGCCGCCATCGACATCGGAACTTAATGCTGATCATTTATCTTGGATAACCATGCCCTAAGATTGTTATGTTGGCGGTGCTGTGAGTAGCATTGTTTTGTTGAAACCAAATGCTCTCCGTGTCATTCTCTTCATTCACTGCATGCGAAGTATTTACCTACTTTAGTCTGTAGGTAGACGTTTAAACCTTGGTGTTTATCCTTGTCAGGCGAATTAAAACTCTGTTCTAAAGGTTTTATGAAAACTACTGCCAATAAATTAAAATTGCACATTAAAACAAAACTAGAGCTCTAATACTTAAACTTTGACAACATGCGTCATTATTTAAAACGATGTTATTATAAGAATAAAATATTTATGATGCTATTGCACTTCCTTCCTACGTATAAGATTATTGAACAAAGATCGATATCACCAATACCTGGTACGTCAAATAGCAACAATTTATGATTCGCGTAGCATACTCGGAGCTGCGCAGGCATCGTGACCGGCCTCGAGCGAGCCTGCTTCGGGCGGGACGAGAGGGGGGAGTGTTGTCGGCGAGAACAAAGAGCGGCAGTTCAAACGTGCCGCCGCAATGCCCGCTAATAAGCAATAAACAAGGGGGCGGAGTCGGGGGGCGCACCTGAGGGATCACCTCGCCGCTCGATTCCAGCACCACGCAAGTTGCGCAGGCGCAGACTCTACCATGCGCCTGATACTGATTTGATACGAGTTTTATCATTGTGATGAGTTGTGTACAAAAGTAATTTAGTTTACTTATTTTTTATTAACGGTCATAGGACGTACCTATTACGTTTGTAAGTACGAGTATACCTAATAGATGTTGTTAAGACCAAAACGCACCTTTAACAGTCAATAACTTACATGTCTTCATACGTTGCTGCAAAATAATAATCGCAACTAGCACAATGTTTCAAATTTAATAAATATTTTTTTCGGGCATTCTGGAAAACTTTGTAGCTGTTTGTCAGCTGGTAGTGAAAAATTCATATTCATATCCTGTTAGGATATGAATTTTACCATCACTATCACGTCAGCAGTCATAGGTAATTGTGATAGATTCCAATTAGATAGAGAGTACTCCTGCCTAAAAGGCCGGCAACGCGTTTGTGACACCTGAGTAGCAGACGTTCATGGGCAGCGATGGTCACTTTCCATTAGGTGACCCGTCTGCTGGTCTGCCCCCTCTATCAGGAAAAACAAGATTACTTTTCAATATTAAAAGTTATACTTAATGTAGAGGTACAAGATAAACCATTACGTTTATCATGTTCTTAAAGCTACAGCAATTAGCGGTTACTAACATGAGTCCAACAAAAATTAAAAGAATTCTGTGGCCCTTTCAAACAAGCTGATCTCAGTGAATGATTAGATTAGAATTGGTTCTATGTCTGGGTATAGTTTCAGTATTATGTATTTATTTAAAAATATATGAGTATTGCAAAAACCTAAAAGTGTAAAACTTCTAAGACAACGCATTTAAAAAATGAAAAAAGTCAAGTAAACTTTATATCTCAACCAATTTTAACACTTCTCAGGTAAATCGTAACCTATGGCGTAATTTTCATATTAAATTCTCTATTAATTCTAGTCGGAAAATAGTTAATTTGTCATTTTGGCAAAAAAAACATTCATGAATACAAAGCTGAATTTTGAGAAATTAATTTTTGCCATCATTTGTGTGTAGTTGAGTTGAGTTGGTTTTTAAACGCTAGTGTGTAGATTTGAGACAATGATCTGATTGCCGAGATGATACTACGCACTACATATCCTTCGAACTAATATACCATTTTTTTTTATTAGTATAGTTTTTGCCACTGTAACGTAGACAAGGAATTTAAATTTTAAAATGTTAATGTTTGCCTAAAAATGATTATTATTATCACTTTTAGGCATAAAGAGCGTACTCCTTCCTCAAAGGCCGGCAACGCGTTCATGGGCGGCGATAGTCACTTTTCATCAGGTGACCCATCTGCTCGTCTGCCCCCTCTAACATAAAAAAAACCATCGTAAAATGTACAAGGTATGGAACAGTTTATACCTAAGTTAGTTATAAGTTACTTTAATATCAAATTACAAAAAGGAATACTTTACTAAGAACCACAAATTCATTACACATAATACCAATAAACGAGAAGATTCATCGTTTTATCTCGAATGTTCGAAAAGACCAGCTATTCATCAATAGCTGGTCTTTTCGAATATTAACACGAGATAAGGATAAAGATAAATCTTTATATCTTCAATAGCTCCAAACTGTCCTTGCAATTGTCCTATAAGTCTGTCCTTCAAGTGTTTTCTCAAAAAAAAAATACATAGCATATATTTTTGTATTACACTTGTAACGATGCTACAGAAATACATATTACTAAATTGTATAGATGTACGTCAACTCAGAAAACGGGACAGTATTCAACAGTGCAGAGCAGTGAAATGGGCCGTGATGGCCACGTTCCCGTCATTATCGTTATTATTGAGCGCTCGCCCAAGTCTCTGTCTGAATGTTGCTATCGCCTTGAGTGCACCTTCTGCGACCTTCTATCCACAGGTACCTTTCATATTTCATACTTACACTTATAATTAAAATTTATGTTTAATGTTTTTGTGTACCTAATTTAATACTGATAAATTATTGTTAAATGCGAGTATCTGAAACAATATTTAGTTGAGATAAAAATAGTAGGTGCTGGCATTACCTGTTTCGAAAAGGAAAGCCCAATCAATGATTCAAGTACAAGTTCTATATATACTTAAATTGTGTAAATGTCATGACCTGACTCTTTAATTTAATTTCAAATTAATTACTATTAAAGTTTATAATAGCAGATAACAGATTAAAAAGAAAATAACTCTAATATACACAACACAGGCGTGTTTTTACATATGTTTTGGTTCAAACGCTGTCACTGGAGTAATTTGTCCTGTCCTGTCGGATTGATTGTTCCAAGTGTTTAGTAATAGCAATTGCATGTTGTAAATTGCATGTTTTTTCACATTTAAATTATAATGAATACAAATATCATCTATCTAGTTAATTAGAAAAAGTGTTGTGACAAAATACTTTAAGTCAAAAACTTTAAGTTTTTACTACCCTGAAAATTTTTCAATTACTTGATTAATAAAAAATTTAAATCTTTGTCATGCTACAATAACGGGCCACAATCAAGACTTTATTAAATCGATGAAACTATATAAATTTACCAGAGGCCATACTTGTTTTTTTTTGTAAAGAACTAACAACACAGCTCTGGATAACTCTATGGCTGTAGGCTGTTAGGCTGTCTACTGTCGATCACAGCGCAGTTAACGACGTCTCCTCTCCACGCCTCGGCGTGCGTGGTGCCACTCACGACAACACACCTTGATAATCATGCTACTTTGCACCAACTAACCCGTCAATCAATTCTCTAACTCTGTCATCCACTGGAACCTGAAAACCAATTCACAATAATTTAAATATATTTGTATATCTTGCGAATTGCCTCGATTTCACACAAGTTTCACGTCTCATCAATCACTGCAATAGAATATATATCTATGGGCTATAACAAAACAATTGCTGGGAACACCATGACGGAGTAATTCGTTGTTTCCTTGCTGGACGCGACGATTAGCCCACCTCTATTTACTTGTCTATCGGATCACTAGAACTGGCAGCTGACGCCGGACGTGCCCGACAGTCGGACACCGTTACAACATCGACTTAGAAAAACGTTTGCCACGGATAACCGTTGTCCGAACGAGCGACATTAGCTTTTGAACTGTTTTCTCGATTGATATGGTGCAGTACCTTGGTAATTGCCCGTGAATGGTCTCACCTGATATTTACTTGTCTTTCTATTCCTATTTGATTGAATTAGATTAAACGAGTCACGTTCAAAGTTTCTAACCGTAAGTACCATTACATTATCTAAAACTTTGGCAAATCTTGTGCTTAAATATTCCCACAGGCGCAATATGAATAGATCGCGATCTCGCACAGGGCACGACCGGGCACAGGGCCCGCACATAAGTACCCAGAGCGTCTATCGTGCTAAATCACTGATAAATCTGCTCCACCGCTTGAACAATGCCTCTATGGTGTCCAACAAATGAGCGCAATTAATGTCAATAATTTCAAACGTTCCGCTTAGCATAAAACTTATCACAACTGGTATAAAACGATCCTATCTCGTTTTCTTATATCTCCATTCTGATTTCTTCTAATTCGGGTCAGAATCTAAAATTAGTTTTCTTTCTGCCCTGTTATTAGGTACGCACGTGAATGCTACGAATATATTTTCTGTTAACAACAGTCATTGCAGCATTTCTCTGACAGGACATTAAATCCTCAAGACCTTTCTTCGAACTAGTGTTTCCCCTGAAAACTAATCAACGCCCGCTATTATAGAATCTGACTCCGTCTTTACGTAAGCCAATATATCTCGAACGCTCCTCGGGCGAGAAGGACGCTCGTCGGCGAGGAATTACCTCCGACACCGCCACAATAGTCCATAATTATGAAATGTGTTGTGATTCCTAAAGGTTATGCAATTTTTCTCAGACACCGAACAATGCGAGACGGTAATGAAAGGAGTCAATCAGTCGATGTCTGCAAAATACGCCCGCGCTAATTTATGCATCGGTCGGCGCGGGATGAGTCGAGTGCACAATCGTTCTGCACTTCTGAGTTTATTTTAAACAGACAAAGGGCGACGAATTTTATTGAGGCATACTAACATGAAAATAAATGTGCTTATAACTCACTAATATGTGTGGTAATTTACGTAATAAAAATATAAAAGTAACGTCGGTCATGTGTGGAGGGCCCACGTACGCCACGTGAGACGTATACTTATATCCTAGCTCCATATGAATTTATAGCGAATACAGTATTATTTACTAGCATTATACGCACAATTTGCGAAGCTGTCGCAAGGGCCAGCTATAATTTCCCGATGGCAGCAGATCCATCAATACATGCCTCAGGCCGCGGCCGCTTTCAATTTGTAGGCCGCTTACATCGTCGGCAATTACCGTCCGGACGGAAGGCCGATCATCATCGATATACACGCTTAATAATGCCTAATGACACTTAATAAAGACAGAAAATAAAAGTGCGACGATTATTTATTATCGTTTTTGTAGTAACGGTTTATACTGGCCGGGAAATGTAAGACTTACAAAATATACATCTAACTAATATTATTTTTAAAGTCAACATTTGCGTCATTGAAATTATCATTGACGATTTTTTTATATATTATTTACGTTACGTGTACGAGTGTAATAAAAGTGTAATAAAATTTCTAAAAATTAGGCTAATCATTGTTTATTGTAAAAAAAGTGCAATATCATTTTTGATTGTCGGTTAATTTTAAAATATTTTATAATGTATTGTGCTTTATCGGTAGTTTATTAAAGTAGTAGTTTACGGGTGACTGTTAATTACACAAAATATTAATTACTTCTTTAAAGTTTTAAAGTCAACCGATCATCAGAGAATTACTGAATATGAAGAAATGTACTGAATCGAGTTGGTGGACTGTAAATGCAAAGTAATGTGTGGAGTAGTGATGTGTGGTTTGTTAAGGTGATCGGTACTTAAGGACTATATAAGTAATAGCTTAATTTGAATATTATGAATACCGATTCCACAGCCCATAACGATTTTCTTCTCTCTTTAAGAACATTTTTAAGAAGGATTTCACATCAGATCACATCAACAGCTTTTTATAGCCATAGGTTTCTCCTTAGAAAAGAGGTTTTGGCCTACTATACCATGCTGGCCAGACAGGTTGGTATAGGGTTTGTTTCAAGTCTTCTTTCCTTTTGCAGTGCTGTTGTCCTGCGTAGTTTGCTCCCTTAGTCGACTCCTACGACACACACGGGATTAATAGGAGTGGTGACACTTTGTATTCTTACTGCGTTAACACACGGATATGCCAATAGAAGAAGAATTTCATTTGTTAAAACTCCTATTGAAATGAATGGAGGTTAAACGAAAATAATTTTGAAATTCCTACATAAAGTAGGGGGCTGCGTAAGGACTTTGTTACATTCCCTTTAGTTGATTGTGTTTTCTTTGCTATACTATCAATTAAGTCAGTTGAAGTAAGTGTAAAGTTTCAATGTGTTTCTAGGTAAGATTTTATCCTAATACTTACCAGTATTAGGATAAAATCTTAACATTAAATTCCGTTTAAAAAAAAAGTCAACTCTGAGCTACACTAAAATCTTTTTCTATGTCTGACTGGGGCAATAACTGTTTACTACCAGGCTTTTCGTTCCGACAACCTTATGATATTTTTTAAACTTTCTAAACTTTTTATTTCTTCTGTGTAAATTTCTTACAGCAGCCAGGGAAATATCTGTTATCTCCTATAATTCAGAATTTATTTTCTTACAGTGCAGTAGGGTATGAAAGAAATAGCATTTCTTGTACTTAATGTTATGTTCCTGCCGGTGAGGGCGCTCTAGGTATCGGGATCAACAACGCTTTAGTAGCTCTCTTTACATAATTATATCTTCCCGATTAGAGAGGAGCCGGTTCCTTGCACACCATATTCATATTCGACGGGCCTGTTGCTAGTGGTTAATGATGGTCGTGGGTTCGATCTCCACCGGGGACAAATATTGTGTGATGAGCATGATAATTTGTCCATGTCTGGGTGTAATTTATCTATAATTATGTTTTTGGATATTTTTAAATAAATATGTTTATCAGTAGTATGGTTACCAAAGTATAGGCTCTACCTAGTTTGGAATTAGACGGCCGTGTGTAAGATGTGTGAAGTTATTATAATTAGTAAAAGTTAGCAGACTTTACACCATGAATAATTAATTTGCTTTACCAAGGGGCCCAATGTAGCTCGAGCGGAGATCGAGCACGCCGACTTCAAACCAATTTTTAGATCACTCTGCTACCTGCGGCAATTGCCTTATAATGATCCGATTCGGTTAGTCTATCCATATAGCAAAGACATAATTAACCTCCAGGTGCAAAATAAAACAACACTTAAATTTCATTTCAGTTTATTAACACTTAGGGCCGAGCCCTGATATGTGTCGCTACTCCCGGGTCTCGCTCACACTTCGTACTACAGTTACATCAACATTTGTTTTTATGTATAGCATTTGTTTCAAGATAAGAAAGAGAAAAGATAATAACAAATATATATACGTTATATTGTAACCAAAGTAATGTGTCTAAATTATCTTTTCCGTTTTATAAACAATAGCAACTTACACAAATAATTATATCGCTGGAAGAGTTATTATCAGTTGGCATAGTGTTAACTTTTGAACACCATAATCAGTTTCACAGAATATTCATTATGTTTCCGTTCTATATTTATTTCTCACAACAAGTTTGTAGTAAGAATAGCAATTATTTATATCAGTATAGTCAGTATAATCATATTCAGTTAGTATTTAACATTTTGTTAAAAGCGAGTAACAAATGTAAGCTACATACCTTGCTTCTTTGCCGATTATTGACCATTTATAATTACTTCATTAGCGCAAGGCGTATTAATATAGACGTGAGTACTTTTTATAATTACTACATAAACAATTTTTATTTAGCCATTAACTCTACCTTGTTTTTTAAATGCTACAAAACACAGGTTTACAGATGTATGATTGTCGAAATTCCTTTTATATTTTGTTACTCTGAGCAATACTGTGTCAAGAATTCCTTAATTTTCGACCAAGACACGAATAAAGTATACCTCTTCACGTTATCATATTTAACCAAGGCGCTTGAGTGACTAACTAACTAATATCTAATATTATAATATCTGAAACAAACAACCGAACACCTATAAATAAATATCTTAGTAAAAATTCCATCAATGTTATTGTTTGCAGCCCTCTCCCTAAAGTCACTCCATGACAAATTCGCAGTAGGGGAAGACACAGTGGCGTGAATATTTTGTTTGTTTCAAATGTAGTGGAAAATTAAAATACATACCTATATGATATTGAGTATAAATATGTGTATGAGTATAGATATATACACTATATTGATATTAATTAAGTGTTTATACCTCATACTATATACAAAACTGTTGACAATACCAATATTGCACATACACACTCTTGTACACTGTGCCGACGAATAACTTAAGTGTGGACACATATGAAAATTGTAAGGAATGGAAAAATGTATAATATGAAGTAAAAAAACTGCAAAATATTAAAAGTTAAAGATTATTCCATTAAATTAAACATGATCATTAAAGTTGAGTTACAATTCATTAATTTGCTTGAATCAGGAGTGCAACGTCAATACATAAAATCATCACAGATACAGATTTAATAGTAATTTATTATTTTACTAAATAGAGAGAATAAAGAGGGAGAAACAATAGCGACGTTGCTTATTATTAAGAGTTCGAAAGGAGGAAGATCTCAGTCAGACATGTTATAGTGCGTGCTTAGCGTATTGCCTCACACACCCTTATTTTCTGAGTACCAAAACCGGTTCACAATGATTACAATATTTTGTGACATAATAATTAAAGACGGAACTTGCTTATATTTCTATCGTGACATACTTCAATATACCTAGATCATTAATATTAAACATGTTGTAGAGAAATTATTTTAAGAATAGTACTTCAAACATGCCGTGTGCACTTATTAGTACGAAAATGTGAGGATTCAGCGGGACGTAATTCTCTACTTTAAGACAATACTTCTTCGAAACCTCTTATTTGATATAAACATCTAGGTGACCCACTATTTACAGTGCTTAATCCTACAAAAATAATTTAGTCAACCACTATACAGTACATACATTTTAATATACCTTACGTCTACAATTACAATATAAATACGCTTACTAGTAACAATGTACACTCAATTACACATAAGTACATTTTATTTGTAGAAAACATCACTTTTTTGGAATTCGTCATGCGTGACGTCACTATTGACGAGTTTAGGAAGTCTTCTTAGAGTTATGTTTAAGTAAACTAAATAATGTCTTACTCTTTAATAGTTAACTATCTCTGCACTCCATGCGACTATCGTTAAGCGATAACTGGGTATACCTACAATGGCGTCATTTTTTTTTGCTAAAATCAGCATTCTTTAGTTTTACAAAATTACTATTGTCAAACTTGAAACAATTTTTCCATTAACTATACATTACTATACGAGTTAATAGCCGAGAGGCAAATCAAATGTCTCATTCCAGTAGAAATACGATCTTTGGACATTTTGGGGATTTTTGAGGGAACTAATTTGACAATTCTTTAAATTTATATTGTTATTGATAAATATAGCTATCAAATCACTTCACACTACATAGAGCGTGAGTTGAATTAATCATTTGTTTATTTGAGTGTAATCGAGATCTTGTTTTCAATGATAGTGCTGTTTATTTACACATTATGGAATGTTAATTAAAAGTCCAATATTTAATAAATTTACGTACTTTTAAAATATTATTTCTTTGGCTTACATATATATATTTCAATACAAAGCATTTCCAAAAGAATTAATATTGACTACAAATGAACTGTTTACTAATACAGCGCAGGTAACTATTGTTATTTTATATTTTTTGAATCTATATTTTCATTTTTATCAATATTATACTTTCGGGTAGGAACCTTGAAATTATGTTATAAGTACTCAATATATATACTCTTAATTTCTACTTAGTTACATACATTCGTCTATTAAGGTACTAGTTTGAAATTCACTTTGAATAAAATAATGGTTTTTTTTACAAGTATGAATCCTTTAACGCGAGCCTCCTGTAGAATTTTACCAGCCACTATCAACAGTTCGAGTCGGGCGTAAAACACAGCCAATATTTTTTCATTCGTTTAGGATCAAGTACCATACATAATTGAAAAATATTACATACTACAAATAGTGAAACAGGAAGCACTCGAGACCTGAAGACTTGTCACAGCACGTTTTAGTCGAATCAGGAAGTAGAGTTCGATCTCGAGTCATGGATTCACAGCGGATGTCGTGGTGTTGGAGAGTGGTCGGCGCGCTGCGGCGGCGCGGCGGGCGGCGCGGAGTGCGCGGGGTGCGCGGGGGGCGGGTAGGGGCAGTATCGCAGCGGCGCCTGGGGCTTCTGCAGCCACAAGTCTGGCGGCAGCGCCAATGGCTGCGGCCAGGGCGGCCAGGCGCGCCCGCCCAACGCCAGCAGTTGCAGCGCGGGAGGCGTGCGTGCCCAAGCAGCACGCTTCTCGGCTTCCTCGTCGACACTCGTCGCGCCTCCCGCGTACAACCTCAGCGGTGACCGCAGCAGCTGCTGCTCCATTAACATCAACTCCATTGGATCTCTGTGAAAAAGGCAAACGGCGTCTTTAGAGATACGTGTAATTGAAATAAGTTATGGAATATATCTACAAACTTTTATATATCTAGTAAACACGGCATTTAATTAAAAGGATATGTGGTGTCCGTCTGTCGTATAGTTTTGATGTCGTCTGATATTGTATTTTTAAAAGTAACGTTCGTTTCGAGACGAGGTACCGAGTCCTATTTCAGTATAGCCGCCGTGTGCAGAGCACGAACGCGGCGAATTCCGCGAACCTGCACGTTTTGCGAGTGGAACTGTTCGTTGGGTTTCATCGGTCCATAGTCAATAAAACCGAGTTCGAGGAACGACATCGGCCACCGGCGGCCACGTGGCGATTTCGAATCCCATAAAACGTTAAGAACGTCACACTAGAAGCTGTTATGTAAAATTCAGTCCCGATGAAATACGACGTGGTCAGATTTGTTTACGACTTGTACGCTTAGCTGTGATTTACAGTGCCACTATAAGTTATAACTCTAACGTGTGCATAAGCGGAATCTTTTAATAAAACATGATTCACGTGTGAAAGGTATTTTTAAAAGTTTTATACTGACTCACTTTGAAAGTGTTAAACTATGAGTGTATCGTTGGCAATTGTTTCGACGAAACATCTTTACGAGTAGTCTCGCACAGTTAACGATGCGCGCAGTACTCTCGACGCGTCCCTTAAGTGCGCGCGAGTGCATGTTGCCCTTTATCGGTTCCTGGAGGTTGTCGCGACCGCCACCGATCACGATTCCCGTTAACGCGCTATTTTCGCATCTCTACGAAACTATCAACTCTTATATGTGTGCAATAACGCGTCTTTCACGCCTGCTCAATAGAGATCTTGTTAGTTATATGGATACTCTTTCTTGGTTGCAATAGGCGTATTGAATTGAAGGTGTATTTTTGAGATGTTTATTAATAATAATTTGCTACACCTTGAGATACGCGCGTTTGTGAGAAAGCGGCAAATGTGCGTGACGACACGGCGTGTTCGAAGTGAGCCTCAAAATTGGCATGACATCACGAGATGCCGTATCGAATTTAATCTATCACTGGCGCAAAAGCCCCGGGCGCCGCGTGCTCTGCCCGGGTATAACCAACAGGTAGTGGCCTCACACGCTAATACATATAAAATTCCATAATTTTTGGATGAATAGTCTATATATTTTTAAAACATAACTAAGAAATATCTACAATTTATTGCACTTTCGGCATAAATTATCATAAAACCTTTGGCACAAAACTAATAAAGACAGTCAGTTCAATTTTTCGTCGTATTATTTAGGTAAGTTATAACTTTTTTCTTGTAACCATTCGCTTACTATTAAAAATAAGAGTCCCTTAAAAAAATCCATAAACAGTAAATATAGCTTACACAGTACCTCATTATATTCATCAGTATACATTAAAATTTTTGAAGCTGTATCTCTGATCACGAACGCTCACGTATCTGACTTTAAATATTTCCCCATAGAACTCAAATTTGTTTTTACTTTAAAATTGAAAGTCTCTACAAGCATAATTATGGCTAATCAATTGTGAAGGTACATTTTAAAGTAACATATTTTACAACACTAATATCTTGCAATTTACACATACATCTTGAATGAACAGAAGGTAGTAAGCGGCTTTGTGCTGTGCCTGATCCACCGGGTGGTTATGTCGTTTCGGGTGCTATGGGGGCGTTAATGGCGTATTTATTATGATCTCGGTATCAGCAGTAATAGCCAACACTCTCTGACGGCAAATTACAGGGCGGCGGCTCTTAGAGCTCGCCGATAGGCCCGGCCGTGCTCGCCACGCTCTTATCGATATCTTGCCGCCAAACGCATATCGATATTTGCCTGCAATGTACCTATCTGATGATAAATGAAATAATGTATCCTTTATTTCTTACATTTTTAATTTTAAACGTTTTTCTTAAATTAAAACTAAGAATTATTAACGTTTTTAAGTTCTGCTAATACTCACGACTGCATAACTTATCAGTGTAAAGATCACTCGGCTTAAGCTCATTAGATAATAAATAGAGTTTTTTTTATCAACTATTCTACTTAGGTAACTGAGAAGTGATAAATGTTTCATATTTAAAAAATAGTTATTTTAACGTATCCGTGAAACACGTAGCGGTCGGGGGGCAGCACGCGGTTGTCGTTAAAGTTATTTCTAGCCTGTAAGTGAATCGCATGCAATTAACGAAGAGGTGCGTCCGAACATAAATATAACTTCTCGCCCGCTAAATATCGGCTCTGATTGAGCGAGAGGCGTATCTTATTAATTAATGGATGAAAAGCCGCCCTGACCACCACGCCAAATAACTCCACCGACGATTCTCACACAATGGCAATTCATCATACTTATAGTCTGACGATTTTGAACGTCAGCGAAGGAAGTCATTAAGGTTTAACGCCGTTAGGCGTTGTTTTAAATATTTATAACGGTGTGAATTCTAATATCCAACTAGAAAGTGATCATAAGTGGCTGGCTTGTCCACAACGAACAATGTAAACGGAAGTACTTGGACGGCTTTTAAAATTAACCCACACTCGTCAAGTGAGCCGGTTCAAGTGACAGACAGTGAAGTGGCAAATTACATTGAGATTTTATCGATACGCTTACGCGTTGTACTAAATTAACCATTGGAGCATTGAACCGCCAGCGCTCCAATGAGCGGCAGCAAACAGTAGCAGTGCGCCGTTGCCGCCGCAGTACCGGCTGACACCAATCAATGGAACAAGCAATATGCGAAACCTCTATCTAATTAGTTAGGCATTCGTTATATAATTTTTCGTTCAAATTTCGAAGTGAGTGTGTGTGTAAACATATCAATATTTTTTTAATAAAACTTTAAAGATGTTTAGCGAGATGTACCTGTTTAATCCCTGTTAATTAATAGCTTTCTTAGTAAATTAATAATAATTTATTAAACAGTTCTATGTATTCATTTAAATGTCGAAATCTATAAAATGAAGGACAGTTAAAATTGACGCTAAAGGCTTTATGAAAATGTTAGGTATTTATATAGCATTAAATTTTATACTGTCATAACCATCCAACCGGTGGTCGGTATTAAAGGGCATTTCCACACAGAAAAAAAAACAGTTTTTAATAACAAATAAACGAAATCATGGAAATAAAAACGTTTTATATAAAATCAATCAATATATATTTAATAGTTTTGTCATTGAATGAATATAAATTGAATAAATAGATATGCTCTTTATCGCCGAAGAAAAGCCTATTCATAACAGGAATGTCGCGTTGATGTTGTGTTCCTATTTAAGTAATTACAAACACCAAAGCTGCTACCGTGGAATTGCTTTTGAAGTGAAAGTGTTTTGAAATACCAAAAAGATTGGGCTTGTATACATATCATCTCAAGCTTTTACTGCAAGGAGCGACGACGAGAGTTTGCTTGCAGCAGCATAAAAAGCCAGCAGCCTGTCAAGACCAGACACGATTCACACGATACATGAATCGTGTGCGCGAGTGCGGCTAAGCAAGCGTGGTAATTGTGTCGATAACATCTGAAATCTACCGTCAATCATTAGTGGTGAACTATCATCGTACTCATGCTCTATCAATTAATACAAATCGGTAGCTGCCTACTGACGCTTACGGCGCGGCGATTAGATTATTAATAGGCTCAATAATTGTGCTCGTCATGCCAGTACGGATACACAAAAACTTAAGAGCTAATGCGGTAGTTTATACACCGGTAGATAGTTAAACAATTTAGAAGCGGATCGTAAAACTAGTGAAATAGATTTGTGGTGAATTACATGATGATAATTTATTTCGCTTGGTAGTTGATTTACACAACAATATCGCGATAAAACTGAACCTTGTATTTCAAACGGCAAGTGAAAGTCTAATTGTGTTCAATAAACTTTATAGTTGAATAGGTTAATGTTTATGCATAGTCAATTCAGCAAGTCGTTGCTAAAGGGTATAAACACATGAGGCACGAGAACTTAGTCCAGTTGGCTGTGTGTAAACCGGTTTTGAATATCACACCGATGGTCGATGGAGGGATAATAGAAATGCGCTTTAATTTGTCGTTTAGGGCATAATGAGGAGTGAGCCCTGTGATTACTGCGCCGCCGCCGCCGGCTTGGCCGCCGTTGACGTGAGCTCTTTCCACACAGCACCCCGCCCTCTCGTTCGCAGCCACGCAACCTCGATGTGTTAACACGAAACTTAAGAGCGTCTCAACTAATAAACTGTGTTTTTGTACCTATATCGTTCTAAGTTCAATTCTAAACAAACATTAGGTATAAGAAAGAAGCAATTTGATACTAAATAACGTTTTAGTTTGAATAAATTATATTGTATCGACGTTAAGGTTTATATTGTGAATGGATTTTTTCAGTCAATATAAAATTTATGTCAGTGTATTAAGCCTAAAGATATTCCTTATGATTGCTATCACCAACTTTTATCACAGGCTTTCCTTTCACATCTATCTAACTTCTGCTGGCTTTAAATCAGCACAAACATAGTTGTTCTATTATAAAAATACTACTATGAACTGAATTCCAATGTGCGTTACATAAAAAAACTGGTCAGGTACGAGTCGAACACGTGCGCCGAGGGTTCCGTACCTACCCAGATTTTACGTAGATTTTCGCGAAAATTTGTAAGTACCAAAATTTATCTTAATTTTCAAGTATTTATTTTTTTGGAATTATTCCTTTATTTGTTCTGTAAGACGTATCTTTTTGCCTTTCGTGATCTTAGGTCAACGGGAACTATCATATAGGTTTTAGACCCAAAACCTATAGGTTACTCCCGGTTGACCTAGAATTGACAATTTTGGTTAAAAGCAAGGCACTTACAGCACTAGTAAAGAGAAAATTCTGAAAAATAATAAAAGTAGAAAATTAAGGTAAATTTTGGTTTTCGCTAAAATCGAAATTTGCCCATATCTTTTTATCGTGTTGACTCAAAACCTTGATCTTTATACACCTAATAGAGACTATAGACCTCAGTATCTGGTATAAATTTCAACTTGCTAGATCTATCCGTTCTTGAGAAAATCGGTGGTGACACACGGACAGACGGACAAGAAAGTGATCTTATAAGGGTTCCTTTTTACACGGTTTATATTAGATTCAATAGTATGTTTGCTTGTATGTTTGTAACCGACTCCTTTGGGCGTGATTTTGACTGACTTTAAACGGTCAAAATTCGTTCAAACTTTGTAGATATATCGAGGACCGATGACAATACAGTAATTAAAAAAAAAATGTTGTGTTTTTTATAGAAAGCGTGTTTTGTGTTTTTTAAACCTATATATTTTTTTACCTTTTGAGGTACGGTACCCTAAAAACATTACATATTTATTTAAAATTAGGTAGCTTAAAAACTCCAAAAAAACAAAACTTAATAAACATTATTAGAACATAGTGCTGTCCAAATACAAATCATAGGACCGTATGTCACTTGCGGACCATTCTTACTTTTCTGACGCTAAGCAATGCTTTCATTCTTCTTCGTAATTTTTTATAAGTATATAGTTATCAATATAATTGTGTTGCTGGTAGATTGTTATCCTTTTCTATTTGTTATTCTCATAGTTTTGATTTATACGAGTATATAAATAACATAGACAGACTCGAGATAGCACAGGTATAAACCTTGTTGGTTTTTAGTTGCTATTATTGTATAAGTCACTGTAGTTTTTTTCTTTGTAAACAATACGATTTACTCAAAAGTGTTTAGTCTCAAATAAATAACGACCAAGTCTTTAAATAAACGTTTGTGAATTGTTAGTTTTACACTATTCTACAACTGAAAGATAAAATTGTATTTAGGTGAATAATGAAGCTTAAACTTACGTAGAGCTTTTGGAAACAAGAGTTTTACATAGAACCTGTAACCGAGGATTAGAATTTAAGATCTGTGTATGGGTGTCAGTTGACATTTGGACTACACTGGATCTATAGAAATAATAAATTACAAGATGCAAAATACGTATTTTATATCTTGTTTTTGAAATATCTTGTGTTGTTATCGTGGCAGACGTAAACCTTAGCAACATAACGAAAAACGTTATTTCCTTTCGACGACATTTTTTTATTTTTTATTTAATTTTATTATATTTGGGGAGCTAATTTTTCTTTTCGATTCATTCGATGTTAATTTTCTAGATGCCATTTACAAGCTTCCACATGTAAAAAGAAGACAGTGCCGGTATCTATAATAATACTTACTAAATAGATTTAAATATACATGTATTATTACAACAATTTAGGATCTAAAGACATAACATTTTTCGATATTTCTAGTGCTACTGCAGAATAGATCGATGAGTATTATGATGATTATGGTTTAGTCTATTAAAAGACCTGGAAACCCTTGATATGTAGCTATTATACCGATAATTACTGTGGCAAAATGGAACGTAGAGTCGATTACTGGAACGCAAATTTCTGGTGGCCACATTAAGTTTAATATTGCAAAGAATATCAGGACAGTCTAACTTGCTTTGAGCTATATTTAAGAGAAGACAGATATCTGATTTTTCTACGGAAACAAAGAGGCAAAAGATGTAGTCTACTGCATTGCTGTTCATAATCGAAATGTGGTAGTTTGAATTAAAAACCAAAATATCTGATATGATGATGATCCGTTTTTTGATTTTCTCTTTGTTATTTTTACTGTAGACATTATAGCAGCGATTCCAAATTTGACTTGAATACTCGAGATGGCTGCGTAAATAGGCACAGAAGATTTTTTATTGTTTTCATATGCTTAAAAGGTCTGGAAACGCGAATTATGGTACCAAGTGCTTTGTACACTTTGTGAATAATATGTTCGATGTGCCGATTAATAGCAATTTACCGTCATGTAAAACACTCAGGTCCCTAATCACACTAGTTGCCTGATCAATTCAATTCAATCTGATTTTTAATTTTTTATGAGAAGGTAAAAATTTTGCGTTTCCGTGTAAAGGTGATAGAAAAACATTTAGATACATTTAAGTACAATTTGTTACGTTCACAATACATATCAAATCTATATAAATCTTCCTGAAAAAGTAACGCATCTCCAACATTATTAACAATGACACATGACATATAAAATTCATGTACAAACTTACCTTGTCCTCGCATAGATGGATCATTATACAAAGATTTTATGGTTTTGTTAATAGTCTTGCATAGAATTTTATAACCAGCATGACAATAAAAGTGATCGATGTCGTGACTTCACTATTTCATACGAACCTCTCAACTTCTATTAGTTTTTAACACATTTTAATATCAAAGCTATGAAACTTTATGTCCATTGCAATTTAGGTTACGTCATGTATCAAGAAATGAATAAGTATGTTTACTTCGAGGTTGAGATGACTACCTAAGCCCACATACATTTACATAAAGCAGTAGATACTTTATGTACCTGTATAGTAGTGTAGTGCTACTTTATGTTATTAATGTATCTATCTTTATCATAAAACCTCGATCACTCATTTCACGTGGCAGAAGTTTCATTTAACATTACATTCCACAGAAAAACGGAGTTTATCAATTCTTTCATTGAGTGAGTGAGATTACTGAAATTTGTGTCCTTTAAAATCAATAAACATCATTATCGATTTCAAATACCTATTACTAATGTTTATATAGATACAAAATAAACTCATTGGAAGCGACTTCTAAGCAACATAATAACAAGTTACATTTTTCTTGCTTCAAGCAGTAAATAAGTCGAAGGGTTGCAATTATAAAATCAAGGAGGTAGGTATAGGCTAATCTTAGGTAACTGTTTTTAACACGAATAAACTTTACTTGAAATACCTGAGGTATTAGTAACCTGGATGAGAGTGTTCGAACCGAAAGTGCAAAACAGCTGTGTTTGGCCATTTTCTGTATGCATCGTAACATAATTTTTCTCCGAAAGACTCGTCATATCTCAGCAAAAAAAGATATCTAACCAAATTCAACGCTTTTAAAGGTTAATTTTAAGATGCTTTTAATAGTTTTGGGTGAAAAATTATGTTACCATGCTACATAACTTCAAAATGCCCAAGAACAGCAATTTTTGCACTTTCAGGTTAGGAAATCTTAGAAACCAGAGTCAATTCGGTAATTTGGATTGGGTTTCAGCGTGCTAAAAACCTTCTGAGAAGTATACTCTGGTTTCTGGGTCTCAGGGTTGTCGGTCTATGTTATCAAAGAGAATAGTACGAAATAATTAACACTAATCTCTAGTTCATTATTATCATCCAAAAATATTGATACAAAGATTAATTTATTGATTGGTATACTCTCAAATATATCCTCAATATAAACTTAATGTTATAGTATTACCATAATCGCATTCGCGGCCCGATTATTCGATAAAGCGGATAACAACAGGGCCCTCTCCCTAAATCTGAATTACGATCAACGTTCACCCGATATCGGCGCAATCGGCCGAAGAGCGGGTTTTTAATCTTTTATTCATGTAAAACCGATCACGCAAATTGCAGAGCGGCACACCTAATGCCTTTCAACTGCTGCTAATAACCTGTCAATTTATCAAAATTCGCTCTATACGCGCCCGCATCGTCCTGGACCACTTTAGCGTAAATTAACTACTTATACATCCTACATCTGCTCGTCACCCGTTTTTGAAAATACTAACTTATAATATAAAAACTAGATTAATACATTTAAATGATAATTAAATTATCCTGATGGAAATATTCATGTTTCAAACAAATCTATTGAAGTTTCCTTGACGCTGTCAAACAGTCCATAATATTTCTAAATTTCAAGACTTACCTATCAAAATCCGTCAGCCGTGATGAATCTCTAAATCCTTTAGCGAATGGGTTCGAGTCTATCTTGAGTTTGGTGATGAGCTGGTTTTGATAAGCAGTGACGGCGGTAAACACCGTTTCTGGGAAGACGAAGGTACGATGCTGTTCTCGCGTCAAGTCAGTGATAGGTCCCCCTCCCTCGCGCACTTTGACGAGGTGGATTCGCGGTTGATACCGGTGCATTGAATTCAGTACGATCTGCGGAAAATAAACAGTGTTTGGGTATAAGTAGAACATGAACAATAAGTGTTATGTATACTTCCTTGAAATTAAAAAGAAAATAACACATACGTTTTACGCAATAAATTAGCTGTTGGACTTTTAAGATTTTTCAAAAAATTACCGAAATTTTGCCTAATAGTTTTTTTAGACCTTATATCCTTTATGTTATACTTTTTTACTGTTTTTGTGTAGTCGATTAATTGTTTTATATTCAATTACTAAAATTGTGGTGAAGAAACTGGGCCGAAATAGATGGTTAATAATAGCAAAAATAAATAGTTCAGTTCGTTAAGTTAACTACAATTTTAGTAATCAAATTATAGAACAATTTATCAACTACACTAAAATAGTAAAAAAAGGATTAAATAGAGTATGCTATTAGTAATACTAACTCAATTATAAGCAAATTGTTACTAATACACTAACACTACGAACTGCATCACTATGGTCTGGAATAAATGATTATTATTACTATAAGTGCTAAAAAAAAATATTAGGCAAAATTTCGGCATTTTTTATAAAAAATCTTACAAGTCCATTATCTTGAAAATGGAAATCTTAGGTTTGGGATATGGTATTTCATAGTGTAATCTATCAAAAATGATGGCAACTACCACCTCTTCAATAAAGTAGGTAGTTATTCTACAAGCGGGACATTCTCACGTAACAGTGTCAGTATATTTACAGTTAACATAACGTGATTTTTACTTATAAGTAAAATACTCAAATTTATAGATACGATAATAAAGTTCCTAGTCATCAAGTACTTTGTTTTCATCTAATAATATTAATTATAAAGGTAGCCATAACTTTAATAAGAAATATGATAGTCAATTTGATCATAGGATTTAGGTAATCAGTTTTTTATTTAAACATTTAATAACTTTGTTTAGCTTTATTACAAACTTAACTTCAACTACCAAAAATGCCTTCATATATTAAATTGTAACTTGTTGACAACGTTTACTTACTAGGTTATAAAAATCATATAGATGGCGAAGTACCAATAAGAGACTAAAAAACAATTCACATCTTGATGAGTTATAATTACTAATATAATTATTTATCAGGAATAATGTTCACCCTAATTGTTCTGCTATATAAATTTATTTTAATACAGTAGTGGCAGTGACGGGCAATAAAAAATAGTGTAGTGAACTGGTATTTCCACCGTTATATTTGGTGCTGTTGCAACTAAAAATAGGCTTGAAAGATTTCACTAAAACATGCAAACAGTGACTCTAAATCAAAACTTTGACAAAGTGATATCGTCACACATCCACCATAATGACGTTAGCTTTAAGTATCATTAAACTGCAGAAATAAGTGGCTGAGAAGGGTTAAATTTGTTATGGTGGGGCACTAATGTAATATTAATAAAATGGTAACTATAATAAAATGATTAGTTTCATTTATGAAGTGTTATCTACATTTTATACCTGAATTTTTATGTATAACGCTAGGAATCTTAGGAGCTGAGTGTCTATAAACATACAACAATCTGCTAAGAAGATTTAATTTAGAGACATTTATAATAATATAACCTTAAAGACCAACGTCGAAAATACAATCGATAAAATTATTTAAAATATTCATCACCAAGTCTAATACATTTTGGTAGGCACTCTACTCGACAACAGAGGGCGCTTATTTAAAAAATAGGAATAGTCTAGAATAATCAAAAACCAAGTTATTAGGTAACACTAAATATAATAATCTGAAGACATGATAATATGTGGCTTGTTCATTGCCCATTTAAAATACAGTTCTTAATTTTTCAAACGAAATTTGGGAAAAATTTGTTAGGTCGGTAAATGTTTGCACACAGACAGACTTTATAGCTGCTAGTAAAGAGCTTCTATAGTCCAGTCTTTCGTTGAGCCTTGTCCGGTACTAGGGTAGGCAGAGGCGTATTAACTATAATTTTAGTTTACTTAGGTAGACAAGACAAACAAACGTTAGGAATGAGATGAAAAAAAATGAAAAAAAAGTTAGAGAAGATCGGAGTTGGTCAGGGTCTTACATGTATCTCGAATTGGCCAAAAAATCTGAGTTCTCTATCCGATAATATACCTACATAATAAGTCTATGTTTTTGCGAGTTACCTATTACTGTGCCTCACTTCATATAACTAAAAGCTAATAAAATACGTTGTGCTATTCATTGTAAGTACACATACCTACAAAAAAACTGTTTACAATCAATGAGCAATACTTCCTTGCACAGGTAATTAATAATATTACTTATAACAAATTAAACACTAGACTATATGGAATCATCAGCTTTTTGATAAAACGAAAGCGGCGATTTAATTATTTTAATATCTAAATGAGCAGATAGGCGTCAAAATGTAATCCAATTAAGTCTAATGAATAATTTTGCAAGTTAAATTTCATCCCACATCTATATTAAAAAATCAAGTCATTTTAATTTTTTTTGGTAAGAGGTTAATGAAGATAAAGTGTAATTTTATGCAGGTAGTTTTTCTAGATACAGTAGTCTTTCTCACACAACGTCCATCATTATGAAACGAAAATGAACCATTATGAGAGGTTTTGTACCTAAACTCCTCAAGTAACTGACATTAGCTTAATAAACATTCACTCTGTAATCTAGTTAGAGCTAAAAAATAAACCCGTTGATACTGTTGGTGATTAATCAGATTTATTACCTAATGTAAGATTTCTGAAAATTATAAATGAAATTTGTTAATACTTGTCGAATGCTAGTTCACATTTAAAATGAAAATTAAAGTTGTCAAGTTTGTTTTTAAATTAACATCTAGACAAGTCTAAATTTCGGACAAGTTCATTTAAATTTACGACTAAGCATACTTGCACAAATTAGAAACCCTAATACAAATATCTACCTAAGCACATATTATGTACTTAGGTATGCATAAATACACCTACCTATTGTACAGTTAACCAGTCAGCCCTAATCACTTAGTCGTAATTAGTAAACATAACGTTATCTATTCCATAACAACAATGTCGGTGATTTCTCATAACGCAACGTAGCATCATAATTAATTGGGCTATGTCTCGGCGCGATGTGACGAGCCGATAAGCCTGCCGCCGCAAACTGGCCAGGCTTTTACTGCCATGATGAGATAATTAAACTCTGTAAATTAATTAATTTCACTGCCTAGTTATTTTTATTGCGGCATCGTGTTAATTGAGGACGCAAAGGCGCCGATTCATTTTGAATGTTGCGTTATTAACGTGACTGTTTCTTTATGGGTACTATAATTACATACTGTGTTATCTGTACAAGTTTTGTTTGAACATATTGCTATTGTTAAATTGTTGAAACTCTTTTACAGTAAATATTTGAGTTGGGAATTAATAGCGCGTAACGTGAAGAAACTTTGGTTTGTAAAACTTAACATTTTGAACAGAATTCATAGGTTCCAATTAAAAAAGAATTCATATTACTAGGATACTACTTTCCGATTAGAAATAGTATGTTGCAAGAAATAATAAGACCCTACTAACTAGTTAACTTAAAAAATATATTTCAAAGATTATGATATCTCAACGTAAAATGATGCATTGTTGGTCTAGCGGTTAACAATCTTGACTGCTAAGCCAGAAGTTGTGGGTTCCATTCTCAACTAGGACAAATAATTGTGGGAAGAGCACAATCATTTGTTCTGTGTCTGGATGTAATTTATGTATCATATTTTTGTATTCCTGGACATAGGCCTCCTTTCTAAGGAGAGGCCTATGCCCAGCAGTGGACAACTACAGGCGGTTGATGTGATGTGTGATGTGATTTATGTACCTATTCAGTAAAAAAGTATGTTTATCAGCAACCTGATTACCATAACACAGGCGCTGCCTAATTAGAAATCCGACGGCCGTGTGTATCTCACACAATCGTCACATAATCGTATCATACACATAATCGTCTCGAGTTATTATTATTATTAAAAAAGCAAAGCATTCAAACTGAATGCAAGTAGATATATTTAAGAGCCATTTATTAATGCTACTCATTCTTTGTTTACTTTTGTCACGATATGCTGTGATGTACCTCAATAAAACTGCTTGCTTTTAAAAGTCTTCGAATGCCATTACTTCTCAATATATTTATTACACTATACAGGTGGCATCGTCATCGTTAACTTAATTCTCAAAAAATATTATTCAATTCAATACGCAAAAAGCGGAGGCGTGATAGCTTAAGGGCGTGGTGACCATCATTACTGTGCCTGTAATTTACTCGGCGCCTAATGAATTATCGCCCCCGCCCTAGATCAACCACAATATTCACTTAAACTTTTAATTATTTGTTCGTAGACTACGTCTCACGATTTCTTGAAAGCGTTTCGCTCATCACATGCATTATTCTTTATCGCTCTTTGTAAATAATGATCCCCTGTCATGCCTCTCATAGGGTGTCTACTACGCAGCCCTTATTTGTGAAAATTATTATGTAATGTCCGTGTAGTGACGGATTAAGAATACGGAATGTCACTACCCCAATTCATCCCGTGGGTGTCGTAAGAGTCGACTAAGGGCGCAAAACAACGCAGAACACCAGCTCTGCAAAAAGAAGGAAAACTTGTCACAAACCCTATACCAACCCGTCTGGCCAGCGTGTTATAGTAAGCCAAAACCTCCTTTCTAAGGAGAGGCCTATGTTCAGCAGTGGACTATTACAGGCTGATGATGTGATGTGATTATGTAATGTACTTTTTTCTCATGGAAATTCTGTTTTATCGTGCACAAAGAACATCATAACGTGAATACAGACAGATAAAGAATAGGTAAACCTAGAAATATAATTTATGTAGGTATGTCGCCGATTAATGCTTATCGTACGTTCGTTTGTAATTTCAGTTTAGTGGTCGATACCTAAGTCACTACATCTGCAACTTAAGAGTAACAAGAGTTTGAGTCTCACCCCCGAATCAGGAGAAGGAGTTTTGCTTTTCGATTACCTCACTCACTCGGTGATAAACAACAAAA